GAACTTCCCTTTTCTATTTTGCTTCATTAGCCTAAATGTGTTGGAGCCAAGAGATTTGACATCAAGGATTTCTCCACTTCTTTCGATTTCAGGGTGCTTGATTTTAAGATCAGTTGCAGAAATCTTGGGTACATGAGAAACTTCTCCTTTTTCTTCCCTTCAACATTCCCCACCATTTCATTCAGAATGAATTTGGAGAAGTTGAATTCTAGACCCATAGCAAGAGTTGCGATTGCACCCGTATTGAGCAAAGAAATTTCATCAGCCCCGGCTCTCCGACCATAAATGCAACTCACGAACACATGAGCTAAGTATCTCCAGTAGGGTGGCAGAAGCTTCTTGATAGTTGGAGGAAACACCCCTTCATAGCCCATCTGTTCAATGATAGTTTCTGTTTGATCCATTGAAATCTCAGTCGGAAAACCTGGCTGGTCATCAATTTGCAGAACCTCTCGAATGATCTGTTCCTTCAAAAAAATCTTCTTTCCTTTAACAATAGCTTCTAGGGACACAAAATCATCTTCACCTCTTAGCACCACAACATTGCTCCAAAATTCCTTGATTAAGCCTTAATAGATAACGGGACTGGATGTGAGAGCATGAACGAGACAACACTTCTTCAATCCATGAACCATGGACTTGAAATCAGTGTGGGCTACAGGTGGATCAACCAGGAAAATAGCCAAGTTGTGCACATCAGAAAATTTCAAGTCAACCATTTTTGATCTGCACCAACCAAGCCAAGTGAGAAAACCAAATGATTTAAACAATTAAGATTAGGTTTTACTCATTAAACAATTTAATTAGGCTTTAATTGATGATTAAGGAAAAAAATTTGTTCATGTCCAAAAGTTGTTCACGGTCAGAAAGTGAGTTCACTGTCGAAGAAGGTTCACGACCGTGAACGCTTCAATGGCCGTGAACCATTCATCGACCGTGAACGATTCAACGGAGCCGTGAACGCCGAACAGTTAATTTTCTTTGATTAAACCCTCGATTCACGGTCGATTCTCGGTTAGATTAGCATGATGGTGATCGCAATGAGCATACCTACAAGTAACAACAAACAGTTTCACGAAATAACACACGATTTTGAGATGAATCGATGAACTGTAGAGAGAGAAACTGAGAGGGTTCATGGTCGTATGTTGAATAGTGAGAATGAGAAGAGGTGTATGGCCGCTAACTCCAGATTATATATCTGGACCCTACCCGGTCCATCCATATGGGCTGCAACCCAAGATGCTTCAACTCCAAGCCCAATACCACTAAGTTATTTAAAAATAATACATTTTGAAGACTTTAAAAATAAAATAAAATCTAAAAACTTTAAACTAATATATATTTTTTATTTTTTATTTTTGAGCAAAATAAAATAAAAAATAAAAAATAAAAATAAAAATAAAAAGTAAAAGGAAATAAAATTGAAATTTAAATGAATTAACACTAATTTCTCTTTTACCAATGCTAATAATATTTTGTGATATAGGGATCAAAGTTATTAGACAGCCTTAATCCGTTTATCAGTACCGCCCCCTTCATGAATAGATCTGGCCAATCGCTGGTATTGTGGTCCACTTAAACACGAAAGATTGTGACAAAATTAGGACATACTACAAGTGACAAGACATTGTGACCTTATGTTCCTAGATAAAATTCCTAAGGACCATTCATCTGACGACTACCAAGGATATTGTTGCCCACCTAAATTGAGCAGCGAGATCTACAGACAACCTATTAATTGTTCAATTTTAGATGTACTAGAACATGTTTCCCGCTTCCTGATATACCCCAATAATCAGGGACTTCCAAAATACTCCTTACTTTAGATGAGCAGACAATTATTATGGGAGAAGACAGAATTAGAATGCATTTGTTATACACCCAGGTCGGATCTCTTCCAATCACGCAGATGGTGAAACATATGACTAACCAGATTTAGAGGGATTGAGAAGTAGAATGGTGCATATGTTGTGTACCAGGTCGGATGTATTTCAATCACGCAGAGGAGACCACATATGGCTAACAGACAGGAAGAATTGCATAGATAGAAGATGCAGAGAGATAGAATTACATATGTTGCAATACAGGTCGGATATATTTCAATCACGCAGAGGAGGCAACATATGACAAACAGAAAGATAGCAAGAAAATAACCTTCTACATACCTAATTTATCGGAATTCCCCAGTCGCCCCGTCAATACCGGTATTAAGGACAAAGTCCGCACATCGAGGAAAAGTTAAACCACAGTTCTAGATACAGATTATTTAGTGGAATCCACAGATTCCCATGTATATCTCCCTGCTCAACCTACCCGAGCGTCGTATTGTCAGGCTAAACAGATCTATATAGGTCAAGATTTGTCAAGTCTCTAGATTCCTTAAGTTCATCTGTACCTAGTCAAGTCCATTTAAATCTTTCGTGCCTACCAGCGCATCGAACACAAAGCCTAGACAATTCAACTTTGGTACCTTACACAGATTCAAATTTCTTGTTATCACATATTTATATCACTTCCCTTCACAACACCTACAGATACGCTACTGAAAGGACACTATTTTTGGATTTTTGATTTTCTAATTTTTTTGTTTGGTTTTTGTTTATTTCTCCCCCTAAATTTGTGCATAGGTGAGAATGAAAAATAAATGCGCAAATTTAAACTAACCTAAAAACAAAAATTAGTCCTCAAAGCGTATCATTTTCAAAAAACCCACAAGCACATCGAATCGAGCTTTTTTAAACGGTTTTGTGAACAGATCCGCCACATTATTAGCAATGGGAACCTGTTCCAACCGAATGAGCGAACGCCCATAACAATCTCTGATAAAATGCACTTTGATGTCGATGTGCTTGGTTTTCGAGTGTTGGACTGGATTTTTAGCAATTTGAATTGCAACTTCATTATCGCAAAAAATAGGGGTTTCTAGAAAATTCAAACCATAATCCAGGAGTTGATGTTGTATCCAGATAACTTGAGAAAAACAGGCAGAAGCAGCTATGTATTCCACCTCTGCCGTTGAGGTTGAGACTGTATGTTGTTTCTTGCACTGCCATGACACCAGCCGGTCTCCAAGAAATTGACATCCCCCAGACGTTGATTTCCTGTCAAGCTCACAGCCTCCGTAATTACTGTCAGCAAAAGCATATAAATCAAATTCAGAATTTTTCGAGTACCAAAGACCCAATTTTGGGCTGCCTTTGAGATACCGAAAAATTCTTTTGACAGCAATAAGATGGGAAAGTTTAGGATTATCTTGGTAACGTGCACATTGACAAACCGCAAACATGATGTCTGGCATGCTCGCGGTCAGATACATCAACGATCCGATCATTGATCTGTAGTCAGTCTGATCTACGGATTCGCCTTCAGTATCTGGAGTCAACAGGGGTCGCTCGGCCATCGGCGTCAAGGCAGGTTTTGCGTCTCGAAACCCAAACTTCTCTAGCATATCTTCAACATACTTGGCTTGATGTAACAGGATTCCGGTTGAGTCTTGTTTGATCTGAAGCCCCAAAAACATGGTCAAAAATGAAGTTTTCACGATCAAAGAATGGAACACGGTCAAGATGCAGTTCATGGTCAAAGGTTTTGAATGGTTCACGACCGTACACTTAATCACGGCCGTACACACTTCAACAAGTTTGAACCGGAAACACAAAAACCATCAGTTTTCAAGCAGATTCTTATCCCAATAGCCTTAAATGTTGATCAAAAGCAGATATCCAGCACCCAAACACGAATCAACCACGAATTTGAAGAGAAAAATGGAGCCGTAAACACCAAAAGCGAGTTTGATACCAGATTGGCTCTAATACCAATTGTAGAGTCCCAAATCTAGGAACGAAACCAGTGATCAAACAATTAGATTAAGATGATGAACAATCAAGCACAAGAACAAAGAAGAAGAAAGAATTAATCAAGCAATTCACACGTATTATGGCTGGGCCGCAAACACATCAGGTACACCTTGACAATACACACATACACCGTGAACTCTATCTGACAGCGTCACTGACACATTCTGACAGACACCTATTTATAGGAGCAAACCAACTGTAACATGGTTCACGGCCGTGAACATGTTTACGGCCGTGAACACCAAACAACCTTTAACAGACAGACCACAACACACCAATATCGACCAAAACCCTACCATGATCTATACATAAAGAATCTAGCCCAAACCACAGAATTATGACCTAACAGATGTAACTATGCTTCGAGGGTTGGTTGAAGAACTACTTTCTATGCTAGATGAGAATAACTCATTGGTTCAAGGATTTTGTATGGCTAAAGATGGGTTCCATGAGTCATCAACATAGTCGGTTAAGATTCGATTAATTGGTAACCGAACCAAAGACGGGAGACAGTATGATCTACCAACTGTATCTGAAGTAGTTGCATTGATTCTAGGTGATGGTAGTCCTATACAGTCTCGTGATGTACTTATTGAAGATCGTGGTGACGGTACCGTGCGAAGGATAAGTGAACTGTATCCATCTTTTATGGCGTTTCAATATCCATTACTTTTCTCATATGGAGAAGATGGGTTCCATTTAAATATCCCTTTATCGAGTAATTCTACATCACACAAAAGAAAGAATGTTACCTTGAGGGAATATTATTGTTTTCGTTTGCATTTTCGGTTAAATGAAGGTAAAACTCTACATAAATCCGGTCGTTTGTTTCATACATTCATAGTTGATGCTTATGTTGCGGTGCTTGAACATGATTTAGAATGGTATAATAGAAACCAAAGTACTATTTGTTCCGAGCTGTATCATGGTTTGACTGATAGTTTATGTAGAGGCGAAACAAGTGCTTCATATGTGGGTCGTCGAGTTATACTACCATCATCATTCAATGGTGGAACGAGGCATAAGATACAACAATATCAGGATGCAATGGCCATATGTCGTTGGGCTGGAACTCCGGATCTATTCGTTACGATGACGTGCAACCCTAAATGGCCTGAAATTGAATGTCATATTCAATAAATGGTACCTGGTCAACCAAGTACCGATAGAACTGACATTTTTGTGCGTATGTTCAAGATTAAGCTTGATGAGCTTATGAATGACATAAGGAAAAAACATCATTTTGGTCGTACAAAAGCCAGTATGTTTTCTTAATATTTTTGTTTTCGTCTTTAATTTTAATGTATGTTATTTCCTATATAATTATAATTATATGTGTATGCAGTTATTTATACAATTGAGTTCCAAAAACATGGGTTGCCACATGTCATTGTCTTGTGTTTCTTCATCCGCCAGATAAAATAACCACAACCCAAAAGATTGATCAATTTGTATTGGCAGAGTTGCCTTCTCAGGAAAATGACCCAGTTGCTTTTGAAGCTATTCGTAGTCACATGATGCATGGTCCATGTGGCCAGCTTAACACATTAAGTCCATGTATGCACAATGGAAGTTGTTCTAAAGGATACCCTAAGGAATATTGCGATGAAACTTTCATTAGGCGTGATGGTTGTCCCTGTTATAAAAGGTCTAACGATGGTTCGAAAGTTAAAGTTGGTAATGAGGATATCATGCTTGATAACCAATACGTTGTTCCTCATAATGTCGAATTGCTTGTAAAATATGGTTGTCATATAGATGTTGAGTATTGCAACCAAGGAAGTTTGATTAAGTATCTTTTTAGTTACATTAATAAAGGCCATGATCGTGCCACTGTTGTTTTGGAAGGTCCAGACAGAACACGATCTTTTATATCGATGTTGCACCACGAGAATGAGATCGAATAATATATTAATTGTCGTTACATTTCTGTATCAGAAGCATGTTGGAAATTGTTGGGCTTTGAGATGCAGTATCGCTCGGTTGCAGTAGAAAGACTACCATTTCACGAAGAGGATTGTCAAAGAGTTTACTTTAGAGAAGATGATGATATTGTAGAAGTTCTGGATAGGAGGGTATCTGCGGTGTCTAAGTTTACTGAATGGATGAGATCAAATCAATTATATCCAGAAGCCCGATTGTTAACTTATTCAGACTTCCCGACGAAGTTTACATGGCATGAAAAAGGGGATGTTAAGGAATGGAGGCCACGTAAAAATGGTTTGGTTATTGGTCGGTTATATTTTGTAAATCTAAACGAAGGAGAAAGGTATTATCTTCGTATGCTACTAAATGTTGTACGTGGACCCTACAGTTTTAAAGATATTCGCACTGTTGATGGTGTTGAGCATCCGACATATATGTTTGCTTGCAAAGCGTTGAGGTTATTAGGGGATGATAGTGAATGGCTTGAGTCAATCCGAGAGGCTTCCCAATGGCAGTCAGGAAACCAACTTCGAGAACTATTTGTAATTATTTTGTTATTTTGTGGTGTTACTGATCAAGCAAAGCTTTTTTGGGATTCTTTCCCGTTTTTATCAGAAGATGTTGCTTATAATCAACGTAGATTGCTTGATAATGAAGATCTAATGTTATCGCATGATGATTTGGTAAACTACACTGTGCTTTATATGGGAATTGTCGTTCATTGGTTGATTTCCCCAATCTACCTCAATTAAACCATAGTTTGTTAACTATAGGTTCGAATAGGTTAATTGCTGCAGAGCGGACATACAATGTCGAAGAAGAAATAATGATTTTCAATGAGCTACACAGTGGTTTAAATGTGCAATAGAAAGAAGTTTATACTATTATAATTAATGTTGTCACTGAGAAGACAGGTGGCTTTTATTTTGTATCTGGTTGTGGAGGGACAGGAAAAACATATTTGTGGAGAACAATTATTGCTTCTATTCGATCGCATGGAAAGATTGTTTTATCAGTCGGTCATCTGGCATTGCTTCTTTGTTATTACCTGGTGGTCGTACAGCGCACTCCATGTTTAATATTCCTATTGATATTGATAAAGACTCAACTTGTGGTATCGATATTGGCTCAGATCTCGCAGAGTTGATTAATATTGCTGAGATGATTATTTGAGACGAAGCTCCATTACAACATCATTATTCTTTTGAAGTTGTTGATCATGCATTTCGTGATGTATGTCGTTATTATGTTCCTGGATTTAAAAACAAAGTGTTCGGAGGGAAAGTGGTAGTTCTTGGGGGTGATTTTCGTCAAATTTTGCATGTTATTCAACATGGAACGCGTTCTGATGTCGTTTCCTCTTGTATAAACAAATCAGAAGGTCTATGGAATTCATGTCGTTTTTTTTGTTTTGACAACTAACATGCGTTTGTCTGATCAAAACATTACTGGCGCCGAACTTATATAAATGCGTGAATTTAGTAAATGGATTCTTGATATAGATGTTGGTCGGCTTCCTACGTGTACAGTTGAAGGTGAAGACGATGCTACATGGATCACTATACCTTATGATCTTCTTATTCCTGTTGCTGATAATCCTATTGATGTTGTTACATCCATTGTATTCCCTGATATTTTGAGTAGAGTTTACGACATCTCTTACATAAAGGAACGATGCATCCTTTGCCCGACAAATGATGATGTTGACATGATCAATTTACATGTGCTTTGTAAGATGTCTGGTGACATGCATGAAATGTTAAGTGCTGATGAGATTTGTCGAAGTACTGATAACTTTGCAGAATTGGAAATTATGTATTCTTCAGAACGTCTTAACACGTTGCGGTTTTTAGGAATTCCAAACCATAAGTTAAACTTAAAGGTTAGTGCACCGATCATTTTGTTACGTAACTTAAATTTGCAAAGAGGTTTGTGCAACGGGACTGGGTTGGTCATCATACAAATTAGTCGGAGGGTTTTGGAGGCGGTGATTATTACCGGTACTCATATTGGAGAGAAAGTATTAATTAGGAGGATTATGACTGCATCGGATACAACATGGCCTTTTAGATTTTAAAGAAGACAATTTTCTGTCAAAGTTTGCTTCGCTATGACAATCAACAAAAGTCAAGTGCAAACGTTTAATCATGTATGTGCTTTCTTGGTGAAACCTGTTTTTTCACATTGTCAGCTTTATGTGACAGCGTCTCGTGTAACCTCTCGTGTTGGTCTTCACTTTTATATTGACAACAACGGGAAGTGTGGTAACAATATGACAAAGAATGTTGTTTACAAAGAAGTTTTCTATAATTTACCATTACATGGAATAAACAACATTGAATGAGTGGATTGCAAGTTCCGATATAGGTATAATGGTGTTCATAAATGCATAAGTTCATGAAGAGGCTTATTTCTGAAGAGGTACAAATTTTATTTTTTTGTTTTCAGAAAAATAATCATGTAATGGTTTGTTCATTCTTTTATTTTTTTAATAAAAAATTATCATATATTATATTTTATTTATTAAAAAAACTATAAATTTTTAAGGAAATATATTAAGCATCATTTACTACCTTCAAACATTCGGTGGTAAATTAACAACTACAGTCGCTTTAATACTTCCATTAGGGCTAATAATGTAATTTAGTTATTTATTTATTTATTTTAATTGATTAAGATTTTTTATACTTAACGTTTTACCCTAAGTGATATCGTCTATCTCCATTGAATATATCCGACTTATGTGTGATTAATTCCCTCATTCCTATTTCTACGCTAATAACTTCCATCGATCGGCAGCTCCACGTTCTCTTCTAATGTTTCAAGTTATTCGATTGTTCAGGGTCTTCAACCTCTTGTCAATCACTATTGTCGTCTGGTACTGCATATTGTCGTTCAGGTATCAGTAAACGTACTTGCGTCTTTTTTGATTTCATAGTATAAAGAATTTGTGCGTGCAAGGTTGTCTTATCTTATTTTTGTTCTTGAAGTATGTAATAATCGATTAATGACCACACTGGTGTTGTTATAAATCGAATTTCTCATCAATTTATTTATTAGTAATTTTGATTTATGTTGGATATCGATCGTTTGATTGCAATATGTTATGGATATGTACATAGGAAGACATGACGATCAGTTCCAATTATCTGTTGATAAGTGATTTGAGGCCTAACATTACTGATAAGTTGCAAGTACATGTGATGGTCACACGTAAGTGGACAACATACAACCCTTCAACAGATCGTGTTTTGTCTTTAGATCTACTTCTTTGTGATAAAAATGTAAGTTTATTTCATTAACTATTTCTGACTTTGCATTAGTCTATGGATTTTGTATGTTAAGATATTACTTCCATTTAATAGGGATCTTCTATTCATGCAAGCATTGCAAGTTCATTCTTGTCCAAGTTTACAAATATTGTATAAGAGGGATGTGTTTATAGGATATATAAATTCTCGGTTTTACCTTGTCAATCATTATATCGGCCAAGACGTAAGGACATCTTTATTAAATTTCTTGCTGATACGTCAATTGCTGCTTCCCACTTGCCATCAACAGTCTTTCAGCGTTATGTATTTGACTTATTTCCATTCAACGAGCATCGTTCACGTGTTGGTGACAACAAATATCTTACAGGTTAATATTTTTTTACTATGTTTGTTATTAAATTGCAAAATCTTTAGTAACTTTTTATTATATTGTAGATGTCATTGGGAATCTTTGTGAGTGGGGTTCTCTTGAGGACACAGCACGACCATCTAACTCATGTAAAGTTGGATTGCGAAAGATTGTTCTCTCTGATGAAAGGTACATTATCAATATATATATATATATATATATATATATATATATATATATATATATATATATATATATATATATATATATATATATAATTGCTATAATTTACTATGTTACAACTTTGGTTGATGCTTATTACTAATTTTATTTGCTATAGTGATATGAAAGTGAGTATAACATTATGGGGGAAGTTGGCGAAGAAGTACACTGATGAACATATCAAAAGTTTTAAGGAGATGAAAATTGTACTCATTGTAACGTCTTGCAAAGTTGTATTGTTCAGAGTTGTGATTTATTTTTTTATAAATAACATGTTAATTATGTTTACGTGTAATATATATATATATATATATATATATATATATATATATATATATATATATATGTGTGTGTGTGTGTAACACCCAGAATCAGAAAGACCAAGAAAGGGAAGGAAAGTCCTAAGTCAAAGGAGTCAACTCGTCGAGTCCAAGGAATGACTCGACGAGTCGGCTAGTGTACTCGGCGAGTCTGGTCTGGGTTGGGAAAGCCTAATTTCGGGACTTGGCGCCCTATTTAAGCATCTCATTCCCATTTCTAGGGCTTCATTTACATCCCCCACTGTCCAGAGCGAAACCCTAGTGTCCTCCATGAAAGTGTGAGCTATTATTGGGTGTTCTTGAGTGATTTGAAGTCTAGAAGAAGAAGGAGTTGGAAGAGCTAAGGAGTGATTGTAGATCCAGAAGGAGCCCCTATTCCTCATCACTTTCTGGTAATCAAGCTCTTACCTTGATCTATGGTTTCTTAGATCTCTTCATGTCACTTTTATGAGACTTTTGGGACCATTTCCAAGGCCAACCCGAATATTGAGCCTTTGAGGACGAATAGAGATTAGATCTGAGCATTTCTGAGCTCTAGAAGCTCCGAGTGAGAAGCTTTTCTCAGCTATGGTTTCCTTTCATGGCTTAGACCTCCATTATAGCTTGGATTTGGTTTTCTAGCCTCAAAACCCCTTGCATGCACGTAAAGTTAGCAACTTTACGTGCAATGCTAGCATAAGGAGTCCAGATCTATGAGTTATAAGTGTTGGAATAGACTAAAATCGACATAATAGAGTTGTCTCAAGGAGGACTCAGTGAGTCAGCTCATGGACTCGGCGAGTCGGGTCGCGAAACCCAAACCCTTCTATTTATGAGTCGGATCAGTGAGTGGGGTTAGAGAAGGACTCAGCCAGTCTGTGCCCGTGATGGTCATGAAGATCATGGTACTCGACGAGTTCAAGGAGGAACTCGGCGAGTCCAAGGCAATCTCCTTAGCCAATGAAGATGGACTCGGCGAGTTGTAGAACAACTCGGCGAGTCGGTTGAAGATAGCCCCGAAGTGTTAGATGAAGGAGAACTCGTCGAGTTCTCGCTAGACTCGACGAGTGGAGTCGGGGTTGTTTGGGATTTGAGGAGCATGGACTCGGCGAGTTGGTAGAACAGCTCGGCGAGTCGAGTCAACTGGAAGGTTGACTTTGACCAGGACCTTGACCAGAGTTGACTTAGTTGACCTCTGGAGGACAGTTTTGGCTAAGTTCTATTATTTGGTGTTGGTAGCTCGGTGAGCTAGGAGAGCAGCGCTTCAGAGAATAGTCGATTAGCAGCCAGAGGATTATCAGCAGAGTTCAGCAATACAGGTGAGTTTTCCTTCCAGTAGGAACGGGTCTACGGCCACAATGCCGGCCCGTTTAGGTAGCAGTAGTTCCGGACTTTGGTCCGATGCAGTAGTTCAGTATGCTTGATGTCTTTGTGATTCAGGCATGTTTATGTGTTAGTTAGTCCAGACCTCGGTCCGATGCAGTATGCTGTATATGTGCTTATGTCATATGCTATGATCATGTTATGCTATGTCCAGTTAGTCCGGACTTCGGTCCGATGCAGGGGGCAAGGCCCCAGTTAGTCCGGACTTCGGTCCGATGCAGGGGGCAAGTCCCCAGTTAGTCTGGACTTCGGTCCGATGCAGGGGGCAAGGCCCTAGTTAGTCCGGATTTCGGTCCGATGCAGGGGGCAAGGCCCCAGTTAGTCCGGACTTCGGTCCGATGCAATGGGCAAGGCCCAATATGTGCTTTATATGTTATTATATGGTATGTGGTAGTTTGGGGGAGTTCACTAAGCTTTGTGCTTACAGTTTTCAGTTTTAGTTTCAGGTACTCAGTTTTCAAAGGAGGAGCTCGGGAAGATTGCAGTGCACACACCATTTGTTCAGCCTGGGATGTTTATACTCTGATATACTTGACAGTTGTTATAATATTTTGGGATACATTGCTTATGATTTTTATATGAGGTTTATCGACTATGGTTTTGTTATTAAATTAAACGAAATTTTCAGACTGTGTTTTTGGGATGTTA